TACTTCAAAAGGTTGAACCTCCCTCCCTGGTCCCTCTGCAATTTTGCCAATATCCATTCAGAACTTACGCATCCATCCCCCTCCGATGTCTGCTTCGTCCGGATTCGTCAAAACTGTGATGATTCTTTTGGAGAGCACAGCCGGTACAGGGCATCGCATTGTTGCATTTCGCCCTAAAGTAGTTACCGGTCGTAAGGAAAAAGTCGCGTTCGATCCATTGGTCCAACGAGAAGTCCTCTATCGGGAGTTGCGTAAAATACGATCGCTCCGGAAAGCTGCTCCGTGAAAACTACAGTCATGTACATGCAACTCTCGTACACTACTTTCTAGCGATTCATTATATACATACGCAAGTTTTTTGCCGATATAAACATGTTTTTCTACCATTAACGCTTTTCGTCTCGCATGCGCTCATCTCAATTGGGCGGGTGTTGTCTCTTTCCATCCTCGTTCCACTCCAATCCTCATATTGATGTGAGTACGATAATGTGTTGGTCACCGGTGTTCTGTCGAGTTGATTTTCATGTTTGTGGTCGGTCAGATGAATGATTGATTCACTCATCAACTCTGCATCATAAGTTCTGAAGCACAATCTAAAACGCGCACACCCCCGCACGCTTCCTTACTATTTGCGCAATTTTATTGCACCAGTCCTATTCGTTGTGGTGATTGTTGCATGCATACATGCACGAAAGCACGCCGTCGAGCACTTATTGTCTACATCCTTTCGATTGCTCGGTATTCAACGTTGTCAGCTTGTAGTAGTATAGCCTATCAGGTGTTGATCTCTTTGGTTTATCGTATAGCAAATTGAGTACGTAAGAAGTATGTATAACTCGACAAATGGTTTTTAAATTCATTTTTGTGGACAGAAGATCGTCTGAGTCACTGTGTCCAACAAGTCCTGTGGGGAATACACGGTGATTTCCAAAACATCTAGGGCGTTTTTGTCTTACTCTCTCGTATCCACTTGCGTAAGATAGGATTTGCTTAAGGAAAACGTTGAGTAATTTCGTGAATGAGATGTTCCTTCGAAACGTAATGCAAATTTTTCATCCCAATAAGCGCACCGGAATGCGCGCATTTTAGTTTTGACAGCCATCAACCATTCATTTACTTGCACATCAATAGCAGGATTAATTGAGACCCTGTTTTCAGCACTTCTTTATCGTCGATCCCCTTAGAACTACATGAATAAATGTATCATGTTATTTGCGTGGAATTTTCCTTATTCGAGGGTTACAAACTAAATCCATTTATTTGCTTCGTTAAAACGATTTCCAATGAGCATTCATGCCACTGAATGAAAAATCAACACCAGGAAACTGCACCTTGACGTGGTATCTCTATGACCTGATGCTCCCCACCGGATTGTCTTTCCTGAGCCGAAGCTCTGATCATTCCTGTTTAATCAAAGGCTAAACTTCGGTAAAAGCCCGCTCTGTCTGTCCTTCAGGATGTTGATTTGACTCGATTTGGCTCATTAGAAGGGGGAAAAGATATAGTAGTAGTCAGTCTTAATATATAGATATCTATTTCGCCCTTCATGTTGTCTCGCGTTCAAACTCTTGCCATAATTGAAGGCTTAGCTTGATAATCCCAATCCTTCTCCTGCCCAATGGTTGGACTCCTTAGCAGTACCCGTCCAAAAAGCTACGAATAACACGCCAACAGTAATACCGTGCTACGTATTCGTGATGGATAATCTGGTTCGTGCTGTCCATTGCATCGAACGAGTGCATAATGATGGGTGTACTACTGTTTGATTCTTCTCTATACCTAACCCCTCCTCTTAACTCACTGACTGGTTCGTACATCTCTTTAGACAATGCTTGTCACTTACCGAAAGCCCCTAACAAAAACCGTTGTAAGTAGCGTACCGTCACATCAATTGCAAATTCTGAAGCTTCGTGAGCCTCTAAATCTGAGGACCTTCATCTTGAGGACTCATGCAGATTGGCCAACTGGTTTGGTTTAATCTATTCCTAGAGGTAGATGTATGTTGTGTGTCGGAGTTACGAACTCTGGCTCATGATGGTGTAAGCCACTCAAGTGCGAAGGACATGTTCTCGATTTATTTTCTTCACTCAGGATACGTTGAAGCCCGCTCACCAGGCCACTGTGGAATAGGTACAGTTCTAAATCCTCATTGGCTCATTTGATTCCTGTCAAGAGTTATTTGTGCGCGATGAAACTCTGTAGTTCAGGTAGTGTTTGAAAAAGAAAGTAAAATCGGAAGATTTGTCATCTCTTCTGCACGTGTACCAACCAAATGCAGTATTTATGCACAAAATAACGGGTTTTACGACAAATTTACTGGACTCGTTTAACAGTAGCGGTTCTGATAGAATCGTGCCTGTTGTCTATTTTACCGCGCATGTTTTACAACCGCATCCGACGAATATAGGAGACTTCATTTCGCCCTACTCGTTAAGTGACTAGATAACGGCGACCACCTTATGAAGTTATCATCAGTTCTCGACGGACGGTCAAATAGTGTTCTAGTTCAACATGCAAGTCGATTGAAACGGAGAAACCCTGGGCAAAAATTGGAGTAGCTGCTTTTCAACTAGTGGTTAAAGACCGTCCCCCGGATACACAAGACCAACCTGTCAGTGAAATTACTCACGCTAAACAAGGACAGAAAATCCACGAAAAGAAGCAACAGCTTGATCGGTTTGCAATGGTTTAGGAGGCAGTTCCGGTGGCCAAAACTCTATATACAGTAACCAGTTAGCTCCTAAAGACCTATTAATAGGAGGTTGCTGAGCGAACGAAATTCCGTAGGGCCTGATGGTTTAATTTTTTCAGGCGGGGATAATTTGTCGACTGTCGTTGGGTTACTACTCAACATTTGATTGGAATCACTGATTTGGTTTTCAAGAAGGATCAAGTAATAGCTGCGCAAACTGTCGCGGGATTATTCTATCCTTGACACAAAAGTCTAACGAACAATAAATAGGATTCCGATCATGACGCTGTAGTATTTATCAAGTCATCACTTTTTCTCCTGTTCTTGGGTTACGCCACACATCGACCAAAAATCACGGCGTTCCGTGACCTTAAAAGAGTCCCAGACTCAATTTATCTGCGAGGTCCTGGTGGATTCATTTTGAAAAGGAATCCTCTATGGGACACTGTATTCGCATATCTAATAGAGTAAGAATTCATGGCGAACTAAACAAATCTTCCGAACATGGCAGCGATATTTATGAAACACTCCTCATACCACCCATTTTCAATTTCGTTACAGACAGTAAGCGGTCTCCGAAATGTTGGTATTGCATGAGTACCTGGAGAAAAGATGTGCTACTTAAGGTATGCAATCGACAGTTCATCATATGATATTGTCGATAGTGATGTTCATAGACGAACCAGAAATCCTAGGACTTCGTTCTGAGCCCACTGTTGCATTCAACTCTAAAGGCGGAAGAAACACCTAAGATGTCCTTTACATGTGAAACTGTCTATAAATTTGCACCATTTTGTTTACAGAACATGTGCATTTGTCCCCTTTGATTTTTTCACCAGGTTATTCTAGCCATTTTCAGTTAAGGACATCCGTTTAACCTTGTCTGGTCCAAGTCTAACGTTTCACTTCAGAAAGGCTCTCTTATTGATGATCCCTATTAGATAAAATGGTTACTAGTTTGACTGGTAAGCGGTATTCTCNCAATTATTATATATTCAAACGGTTCGAATTTATTTGTTTTGGTAGACATTAGCAGTTGTTCTCGTTTAAAGAGTTAGGGGATTCAAACCCACGGGAATTGGCCTTTGTACCAAATGAGCACTAATTGCTTCTTGTTTAATCACCTGCCATATACAAAACAGATACATAAACCAAATAAAATTTAAGCTAGCTGCCACGACGCTTTCCTCTGGATTCGACCAAAGTTACTGAAGCGCTCAGCAGGCTGCTCGAATTTTGTTGATTTGAGAGATATTTCTATGTAATTGAGAGTGAATGATGAAAGTGAAAAGATAAGGGTTTCGGGCTCCCGTTGGCTGTGCAGCGCTATAGTGATTTCCAAGCATAAATTGAATCTTACCGAGGGGTGAGATGTCTTTACAGTTCACTTGTTTGACGATTGATATTGAAATGTTTCAGTCAAAAAGTGCTCTTAGATGTTCAGCTGATTCTGATTCTTATAGTCACCAAATTTTCCCGGTCATAGACTGCGATTAGCGTTTTTCTAAGGTACCGGGCATTCCTTGATCGGAGAGGGAGTCGCGCTGGAGGATAAATGTAATTAGATTCATTAGAAAACAGATGTGGCGAATAAGCTTCGTTTCAGTGCTTTATATTCGGACCAAAAACAGATCATTATATAACCCAGGGAGACAGTCAAGTCAGAGTTTTTATTCTGTGTAAAATGGACGTTCAGGGGTTAGGAGGGAAATGCATTAATACTGGTCGCATGATTGGTGATAATCCCTTGCGGAGTGTGAATATTCGACTGAAGTGTTAGATGAGGGCATTTCTGAAAGGGATTCAACGAACTGTTTGTGTGCACTTAATGGGAGTTTGTTTATTCTAATTTTTATTGCCTCTGCTGTAGATAACAATCGAGTTTTCACATCATTAGACCGAATCTCCTTCAGTAAATAGATTGGATGGAACGATTCCCGCACATCCTCGGTGTGATTCGCCTCGGCCAGATGTACAGCAACCACACTCGCGTCTGTCTTTATCGGTCCACGGTTGAGTGAAGCTGCGTGGTGTTCTCTCATTCGATCGGCCACGCTTCTGGTGGTGCGACCCACGTAACTTGCGCCACAGAAACAGGTCATCTACATCGGTAGCCTGTCCTTCATCTGTACTGGGAGAACTGATTTGCGCGATTCCGTTGAGAAATAACTATTTTCTACTACTTTCCTCAGTCGTTTGCTCATTGTCCTCGCAAGGGTGTCACCTTTAAAAGTCAATGAAATGTAAACCTTTTTCTTCTCCACTGTTGGATCCTTTGATTTCGCAATGTAAGCTCACATACAACGATCGACAAATTCCTCTGGGTATCCATTTTTAGGAACGTTGACTTAACTGTTGCCAATTCATCATTCACTGTGGCGATGCACTAGGTTCGTATTTTTTCGTTGAACAAACAGTCTCAGGGGATCGAAAAGGATGTCTGAAAAAGTGAATAAAGATCACCGAGAAAACACTACCGATTTCAGGAAAGATACTAATCTGGTCAGCCACAAAATAAGATCATAAAAATCACTTTGTGATTGTGCCATCGCAAAAGTTGCATCCGGGCAACCAATTCGGATCATATCGTATAC